AATAAGCGTTAAAGATTTTGCTTCATTCAATTGTCCAATGTGATGCAAAGATCAGGCACTATGAAAATAAAATGAAAGTCATCATTCATTAAGTACCAACTCATATTTCATTCCTTCCATTTTCAAGAAAAACTTGTGAATGGAGTATACGACTCATTTTTTGTTTTTGGTTCCTCAGTATGGTGAGATTAGTGATACATCCTATAAATAAGAGGTGGGATCCCTAGGAGCCTACATGAACTGATACAGGGACACTATCCGTTCTCCTTTTTATTTTCTACACTTTTTCTTCATGTTTCAGCACTCAAGGACCAGCCCTTCAGAATCCAATCAAAAAATTTCTCCAAATTCTACTAAAAGCTGATCTTTGTAATAGCCTGCCTATCAAACAACCCCCCAGTTGATTAAACCCTCCACCAAATCCTACTTTTCTAATGTGCTTGTTACTGAAATAAGATCTCATAAGCATCCAATAACTTATAATAAGATCTAGCATGTAGGTACAAGTCTGCTATTATCATTTAAGCTCTAAAGGAAACTATTAACACAAAGTTCATAGCCATACAATCTACCATCAAATAAACATGTTAATTTTATGCACCCATAACAGATGAAATAGTTCAAGAGATTGAAGGATATGAGCATCAACTTGTTATTGTGCAAACCAAGATTGACGAATAAACAAATAGCAGTTACACTTTCTCCAACAGAAATTGAATGGATCGAAGATATTTTGAGTGTCATTGATAAGAAACAAAGAAAGTGCAAAGTTCACCATTTTGCATACCTGATAGTCGGATAGTGCACCATATGATGGATTTCGAGAATCACCCCATCGACCATGTGGGTACTGGTCCCAACCAATAGTCCTGGATATGTAACTCTTCGGACGGTTAGCCCTGCCATAATTAGCCAGAAAGATCAGATATCCAGGAAAATTCAACCATTATTGTACAATCCAGTAAACTGCTTCCAGCTAGCCAATAACAGGGAAGTTCAACATTTACCACATACCAAAATATTGGGCGAACATCTTCTTTAACTCGAAAAACGTTTGCAGGGCGTCTCCAAGGTAAAAACCTAGAAATTTTGGACTCTTCAATCAATCCAAGGTTCTGCCAACATAAACCTATGATTCAGCATGGGCAAATGAATATAGCCAAAGCTATTTTCAATGTTCATCTCTCAATTACTTCCAATTGAGGAAAAGAAATTTCCTTATCTTAAATTGATTGAACAATAATAAATCACTTAAATGAAATTTGCAAGTAAATCCCAATCTTATTCTATGCTTGCATGTCTTTACTTTTCTTCATTATTTCAACTGATATTCACTTGATTATTTGAAAATAATCTATGAGAAAGTAAGACACAAACCAATAGATTGTTTTAAGGTTTTTCTTAAATTAGCAAAAACATATAGTTCAAGAGTTTTCATTGGCCTTGAATTTGTTCAATTTGAGGAAGAAAGAAATTTTGAACTACATATTTATTTAAGATTTTCTTTTAAATTTCAAAGTTCAAGAAATCAGATGATATTCCATAATAACATCTTCGACATGCCAAAGATATGATGAAATATAGGATAATAAGAACCAACCATTAGAATAGCTAATGCAGATTTCTCCATGTTTAACGTATAGAGGTGCAATGTCTTAATCCCATGAGCTAAAATCTTGCGGCACATTTCTGTTCCAAGGTGAATCCCATAGGATTTGACAGCTTCTTCATTGTCCTTGATAGGTTCTAAGGCAGCAGTAATCTCATCTGGTATCTACAATGAGCCATTAGATGCAGATGTTACATTCAAAAATATTAACAATAGCCTTCCATCTCCACTCTTCTAAGTAATCATAATCAACATATTAAATAAATAGTTGCGAAAAAACAGCCCAGACAGTGCATTGTGATGACATGGGATACCCATCCAAATTAGGGACCTCCAAAATCTTAGAACTTTTAGCCTTTGAGAAGACTGATACTGCATTCATTTCCTTTCTGCAAACAATGCACCACGTTCTTCTATAAGCATGGGTTTACCTCAATGTGCACATCTCCACTGCTTACGGAAATTTTTTTAGTCTACAGGAGTGCATAACCCTTAGGGGGAAAGGGGAGGAGGTCCTGACTCGAAACCAGGACCCCATGTCCTCTTTACAGCTTCCATGGCCACTAGGCCAAGAGGCAGAGGATGCTGCTTATGGAATTATTTGAAAAACTGGCTAGTACCTTTTCCAAAAATGAATTATGGAAAGTAGAATATCCAACTATTACATAAACCTTTTCAAAAAGTTACCAATGGATACCTGTTGAAAGGCTCAAAAATACCTGAGCATAATTTTCTCAGACTACATGGAAATGAAGGTCAAATGCATGATAAAAATCGCAATGTTTGTTATACAAAAGTGAAACAGGTTACGCCACATACCTTAGTTTTGCAAAAGCCAGTCATACGCAAGAAACCCTTATAGTTATTAATGGGCATAATACCCGGCACGATAGGACATGTAATTCCAATTTGGCGACAGTCATTGACAAATTTGAGAAAGATATCAGTATCATAAAACAGTTGAGTGACGATTAGATCAGCTCCCGCATCAACCTACAGATTAAAGAGGTTTTAGCACAAAAATTAACTCATACATGGAAATAAAAATGGAAACATTAAAAATTAGAACAATATTTCCAATTAATTAATGAGTTAAAGTAAAACCTTTCTCTTCAAGTAAGCAAGATCATTCTGATAAGCTTCAGGTGTAGCCACACCTTCACTTCCAATAGCATCAGGATGTGCCTCTGAGCAAAAAAGTAAACCATTAATAATGACAAGCCACAAGAACAACGTCTTGTTAGCATACAATTAATCCAACAAAATATGACATAAATAAAAGAAGATGAAAAGCACCTGGATAACCAGCAACTGTTATGCCAAAGTAGTCACCATATTTGGCTCTAATATGTTTTACCTAATATTTAGAAAAAAAAGTTAGTAACATATTTATTAAAAAAATGAAAACAATATGAAAAAAGAAACAGAAAGAACAAGGCTTTACCAGATCAAGGGCACAGGCGAAGCCACCTTCAACCTGGACAAACTTGTCCTGGCCATGAGGAGGGTCACCTCGGAGGGCAAGAACATTCTGAATGCCATTAGACTTGATGGTCTGAAGAGCATGGTCGATCTTCTCTACAGGCATGTTAGTGCAAGTGAGGTGCATCATGGTCTCCACACAGATGATATTCTGCATCTTGTTAGCAATGTCAAGGGTGAGATCTGCAGTGGAACCACCTGCACCCCAAGTAATGTCACAGAATGATGGATTATGAGCAACCATTCGATCCATCCTGTCAAACAGGTTGTCTACTCCATCCTCAGTCTTTGGAGGGAAGAACTCAAAGGAAAACACCACTTTCCCTTGGTCCTCTAGCAAAGACTGGATCTTCTCTATCACCTTCATCTTAAACTGGATCTGGGACAGTCGGTGTCAACATCAGCTTCAAGTTAAACTAAGAATTGAATATGAAACTCAGATGTTTGAATAAACAAACAAGAAAGGAACAAAAAGGCAAAAGAAACCAAACAAACCCAAACCCGAATCTGAAAGAAAAACTGATAATTCAGAGCAAAAATCCAAACTTTAACTTTGAAAAAGAACACAGAAGAAGATAAAAATGAAAATTAATATCAACCCTTTTCAAGCAAATCAGATCAGCTAAAACATAAATGATATAATATAAGTTATACGTTGCCAAGAATCCAAAAGCCACCAAATATAGACAGAATATTTCAAATCTAATATCCGAGGTTTGTTGTAGTACATTGTCCCAAATTCATGGAACAAAACTACGACGTACATGTCAAACAACAATTCCCAGAAAATATGAAAAAGAAATGAAACTCACAATTGGGTTTGAGATGGGGAGAGAGATGGAGGTGCGAGATCGTGGAAAGTTGAGCTGACAGTATTTGAGAGAGAAGCGGGTGGGGGTTGGTGTGGCTGAAATGACAGAGTTGCCACTCAACAACCCTATATACATACATTAGCCACCCCGCACCAACTTCCGAGACTGAAGCATTTTTTTTTTAATTTTTATTTCCTTACATACGAAACGATACGATCCGGTAGCTTCAACTTCAATCCTCTCTATAATTTACCAACCAAAAAACAGCGACGTGTTGAAATCAGCTTTTGAAAGTGAAATTCCTGACAAGAACTAATAAAGATTAATTGAGGTAGTTTTATTTGATTTCATCCTGTTATACATAATCAGATTTTAACTTTGTCTCCATTTCTCAAGCCAGTTTTTATTTTGATGAGATTTCATAATTACAACAGTAAGTGATATTTTATCTGATTATAATAAAAATTTACAAATAATTATATGAAGATTGTAATAAATTTAGTCAGCTTGATAAATTATAAAACTATAATTGTGTATCCATCAATAATTAAACAAAGATTTACTCACTTTATTTTAATTACTATGTAGTAAACTTTAATATTAATTTATTTTTATAAAATGAATTCCTTGTCCAAAATGTATTTATTATGAATTCATAAAAATCTTTAATATTTTAAAATGGATTTGTTGTTCTTGTTCCCATTTTGTGAGATTATTTTACATAAATATTTTTTTTTACTGTAATTTCAAAGAATTATGTAAAACTCTACCATTTAAAAATATAAACTTTATATAATAAATTTTTTTATAAATCTTATATAATATTAAATTATAATTAATTACATTTCACTATTTTCATGGCGTTTTTTCTAATGGAAAATGCCCATCCAGCACCACATTGGTAGTGCTTGAATCTAACAATTTGGCATACCCAAGTTGTTGACTTGCTCTAAATCAAATAAGACCCATATTTTATTCGGCTACCCTTGAAGGCCTAAGGGATAAGGTAATGTTGCCTCCAGAACACTACAAGACAGATGTCTTAAAGGACAAATGCTTTAACATCGAATGATTGAGGGAGATAACATTATGTTAATAAGGGAAAAAGAAAGGGAAGTGTAATTTATCATTGCAAATTGGAATTACACATACAAACTCAAAAGAGAAAGTGCAATATCTAGTAGAACAAGAACTTCACATCTCACAAAAAGTCGAGCTTTCTCTTTTATTTCTTCCCCCCTTCAATCATAAACAATTAATCCAAGGAAAAGAACCCCACATTCAATTGGGTTATCCGTCCCCCCCCCCCCCCAACTCAAGTGTCAAAACCAACGGAGTATAAAACTCAAATGAGAGATACAGAGCTCTCCATTGATGCAAATGGATGATTATAAATCATCATATTTTGCACCCTTAAACTAGGCTGTGGCCTGTGAGCCTACCTGTAATTAAGGTCGGATTAACCTTAATGCAAGCAGACACCACAAAATTCCCCTGCAACAAGCAAGAGTTAAGATACTTCAACCACAATACATGTAATGCAATGACATGCACATTGGATTCGCACAAAGCAAAGTCAAAAGTTTACCTTGCCAATACATATTTAGTAATAACATGCAACTGCGGGTAAAATTTGACCCAATAGCATAAAGTAGTTGCTTAAGTTCAGCAAACCTTTAAAATAAATAAAGACAATCAAATCTAAACTAGCTATAGAATTACGCCCAGGGATAGAATCTGATGCAAGAGCCTAGTAACCAGAGTCCCCTCTAAATCCACCTCCAAAGCCTCCATCACCACGGAAACCACCATTGCCACCAAAAGATCTAGGGCCACTCGGTCTTTCAGTGGCATAACTTACCCGAATATTTCTCCCATTGAGTTCCTGCAATTTCAGTACAAAATAGTCAATAAGTAATTCACCAGAAACATGTTCCACGTATCAGTAATTTTTTTCCTCACCTGACCATCCATGGCTGACAAGGCATTGCTGGCAGATTCATCATCAGCAAAGTTAACAAAACCGAAGCCCCTAGATCTCCCAGTGTCTCTATCGGTGATGATCTTAGCTGATCAACATAAATCAGAGAATGAAAACATGAACAGAAGCAAGTACTATAATAGATAACATCCTCAACGCCATAAAAAACACAAAGTTCATGGGCCAAAATAACTAATCAGGCAAGACAAGTCCAACTTGTCATAATGTCAATTAAAACACAATGCAACAGCTCACTTGCGCTCATCATTATTCAACTTCTATGAGAAAACTCCAAGAAAGATAGAGATATACCATACAACAATCTACAAGATAAATTAACAACATATATAGCATAGAGCCCAGATATGCCTAACTATGTGTTCCGTATCCAAGACACCCAATAAATGAACAACAGCAAACACCTATCAAGCACATTATCGATGCCAATCACTCATTGTTCGTTATTATAAGTAACTAGCAGCTGATGAAAGATGGAATAAAGGAAATACATTTCTGCTAGGTACTACTTAACGTGTTGGACCAAAAAAAAAAACTCAATTCATCTGCTTGACAAGAAATGCAAGATACTATTTAATATTCATGACTAAAATAGTCAACTTAATAAAAATGTCAAAAGCTTAATAGTATCTTTTTCTTTACCAATGCAACTCACCTTCAGTGACATCGCCAAATCCAGAAAATGCTTCCTTGAGAGACTGATCATCAGTTCCATATGAAAGACCTAAGAACCATAGATTCAAGTCAAATATACAATAATTGACATCCACGTCTAATCTTCGACCAACAATCCAATATGTATTAATACCTCCAATAAAAAGCTTTTTGCCTGATGTTGACATGCAGCGAATAGAGTTAAGAAAGGATGTCATCGGGATTTGCCCATTTTGCCTCAAAAGGCTTCCAAGTTTGCTAGAAAATGCCATTATAATGCTTGACTGTACTTTTTTTTTTTGGCAAAAGCATCACCAAGCCACACACACAAAAACAAAATGGCAAGTTAGTTGAAAGCTAGATATCCCAATTACTAACCAAAACAAAGCATACACATGGAAAAAAAACATAACAATATGAAACCGTTTGCAAACCCAAGAACAAATCCTATTAAATTCTAGCTGAAAGGGTTTAAAATCTCATTAAAAATTTTAACTTGTCAAGTATATTACTATTAAGAAAAAATGGTTAAACTTCCCAGCTCCCACTTTTCTTCAATCAATTCTCCCCTCTCTTTAACAACCATGGACAATGTAAAAACTTGTTACCTATATCCCACATGAACAAGATATATTATTACAAAAAAGAGTAGCAACCCATTCATAATAACATTACTGAGTTTTAATGACATGTTGTTATCTAATTTGTTGGATATATAACTCACTTGATAGAAATAATTTATAGTGTAATTTCTCTTTTCCTTTTTCTTTTTTGGATACACAAAAATTTGTATTACCAAAACAAAAGCAGGAAAAACTGCTACAAAGTTACAACTGCAGACACAATTCATTAAAAACAATCAGACATTGAGCATTTAGCCCCCACAAAAACAAAGTACTATGCTCCCTATTTACAGAATCATAGGCAAACATCTTTCAGGCCATAAAGACACAGTCTTATGGTGTAAAAAAATAGTCGAACTGAAATTAGCAGCAAGACATGGATCCTGTTATTTCGCACTCTCCACAGTTAATACACCAAGGCACTCCAGGCTAGGCTATGCTTAGAATAACTGAAACCCTCCCTAGCAATACTATAGCATTTATGTTACAATTTCTCCATGACCAAAGAGACATGAAACTTTAAATTTACAAACAAAAAAGAAAAGAAAAACCCATAACAAAAATCAATAAATCGACAGATTAAAAATCAATAAATTAACAGATTAACTCAAAAAACCAACAGATCAAAACAAATCAAAATCATAAATCCAAAGAACATCACAGTCTAAACGTTAAAAAACATAAATTTCTCAAGAAAAATCCAATAAATGAATACAAAGAATCAAGCTCACACAGGCAAACACGGTAATCTTTACCTTTAAGAAGAGAAAAAGCAATGAAATTTGTGATAGAGACAGAAATCAACAAACGGCTAGGGTTTAAGAGTTCCGAGGAAGAAAAGGGTAAATATCTTCTGACTTTAATAGAGGGAAGGTTTAAGGAGTTTTATTCAGCTACGGCGCAGGTCTATCCTAATCTTGTTAAATTTTTGCTCTATCTAGTTGTACGTCAGTGGCATTAGGTCAAAGGCTAATTTTGAGTGACAAAAAGTGCACCCTTAGATGCGTAAAATTTAGGAACCGTACAGTCTAGACCGTACATGAGTGAGGCTTTTTGACTTAATATCAGTCGACGGTGTATTGTATAAAATAAAGCTGGCAGAGTCCACGTCAGCAAAAAATCTGCGAAAATAAGAACAGTTTAAGTTGGGCCTCGATTAGGGCTCCTTTAAATAAGTTTTGGATTTTAATTTGGCGGAGGGTAAGCCCAAATATAAGAACTTCTTTTCTTTAAAAAGGAGATATTCTAAACCCATTTTTATCGTAGAAACGCATGCATTTTTCAACCACGTTGGAGTATATTAGGTAATTCGTTTAATTATATTATAATTATTTTATATTAAATAAATATAAAATATAAAACTATTATATCATAATTTATATCAAGATGATAAATATAAAATATTTTTATTATTTTTATTAGATACATATATGATTTTTATTAAAATTTTAAATCATATTGATTTCATATTTTGTTCTTATTTTTTTATATTGTATTTAAAATTATTTAATCTACATTTGAGTCAATAACTCTAATTTATATATAATTTATTTAAAAAATGAAACTTAACTTAATTATTTAATGAGACGCTCATTAACATACCTATTACTTTTCCTTTGTTTTAAACATCTGACTTTGAAAGATTTATATGTCCATTTGATACCAATTCAACATTTGATCCAAGAAAGTATTTCAATAGCATATAACTTTTCTATGTTTAAATCTAAAAGCCTATGAAGTTACTTTCTTGCCTCTTACTTTGTTACTATCTTATAGTGGGTGGAACTAGATGGGAAATTGTGCATACTGTCATGATCCACTATAATAACTGGTACAGGGTTGCATGGATAATAAGAGTTAATAATATTGTAAGTCACTCAAAATATTCAAGCATATCGGTAGAAAATCATATTTTTCAATAATAAAAGATTTTGTATTTTTTTTTCCAATTATTTTTTTTGTGTGCATACTCGCTCAGCTTTATTAAATGTTGACTTAGGCATACTTGAACTTAAGTTTCCATTCTAAGGTCGCACAATTGTTAGGCTCAAGACTAAAACATGTGACACTTGCATGATATATCATGTTTATTTGATATTTGAATTATCTTAGTATTTGTCTTAATTTATCCTACTTCGTAAAAGATAAAAAAATAAAAGAAACATGATCGTAACTACTTATATGTGAGAAAATTTACTGAAAATAATTTTCAATTTTACTCTTTTTATGTTATAGTTTTATTACCATGTTTAATTTTTTATTTAAGTTTTTCATTACACAAATTATAATTGTTTCCAAGCTTATTAAATGCTTTGGTGATGCTTTTAGGTTTGGTTCTCTTCCATTATTTTTTTGTCTATTAGTTTTTAATATAATTCTAATCATCATTCATAAGTATGATTTTTATACATGCATTAAAAAAAATGAATAGATCCCATATTTTTGTCTATTATGAATGGACAATGTTGATATGAAGCAACTGAATTAAAGCAAACAAAGCCTTGACTTTTATGGAAATTTTAGAGAAACAACCATAGATTTGTTGATTTTTAGTATGTTTCAAATGTGAAGACTCCGTCGGACTCATGAACAAAAAAAATTTAGAGATTCTTTAGTCATTTCTCATTAGCTACTTCTGTTTATTAGGTATGAAAGATGGACAACAAGCTTATGCAACATTCATTTAAAATACCATATGTGCTCAAATTTTGTGTGTACATATGCAACTATTTTTTTTATGAGTGGGATTATGTAGCCTTTTAACGATGCATGACAAGCTTTGCACGTATCATTACATGATGAACATATTATTTTCTAATATAATTATGAAGAAAATTGCATGATAGTATCAAATATTGTATAGGTTGCTGTGAAAATGATCTAAATCCGTCACGTTGTGTGGACATATTTCTAATATATACATAAATATATGAACAAAGCTAAGTTCCATGTAGCCGAGACAAAAAAGTTTTCCTTCCAAAATATCCCAAACAAGACCCCAATTATTGTGATGCAATGAGGCAAGAATTTTGTTTGTTTTTTTCACTCAAGGCCAAGGGGCAATAATTGTTAGGTTCAAAAGAAATGGGGGATGTGGACTTTGCCCATCTTGGCAAAACATGGGAAAAAACACCACCACCCAACCCTAGGCCAAGGCCAAAGCAAGGCCTCCTTTGGCCACTGAGGCAAAGGCAAAAACAGGATCACATGGGGAGAGTCAGTCATCGACATATTTCATTCTTCATCTTTTTTAAAGGCGAAGTGATGGGTTTACAGGTGTATGGACAGATAATTGTTCCGATCGGCTAGGGTATTGCCACGTGGTGATTCTGTACTAGTTGAGAAAATGGTTAACAGGCAAAGAGGAAACCTACCCACATGTGCTTCCCCCAAATGCTTCCCGCTGTTACTTATAGACTTCTCCTATCAGACTAGCTTCTCTTTTCACGCTCCTCACAGACGCGTGCAGATCCTTCTCATGCAAGTAAGCTTCAATTTCTTGTTTGAGAAATGTTGAACTCGTTAAGAAAGTATTAATTGGAATAATTTTTTATTTAAAGAGTAAAATTTGCATTTTTGAATAAAAAATTAAAAAAATTAATGAATAAAATTTCATGTGAAAAATTTTAATACTATTATTATTTTTATCATAAAATCAATGAAATATAAAGTATGATAGCAAAATTTATTATTTGCATTATTTAAAAAAAATGAAATTGAAAGCATAATGAAAAAAAATTTAATTACTAAATTTATTTATCTCAATGTAATTTATTCTTCGTATATTCCAACGTTTATCTTTCATTTGCGATTATCTGAAATGTAAAATTCTGAGTAATTATTACATATATTGGTTTAATATTAAATTTTATTGATATATCACAAATATATAAAATTAATTTTTTAATGTGATTAAGAGTTTAAAAAAGCAAAGACTTTAAGCACGTATAGAAAAATAATAATAAGTAAAATTATAATTTAAATTTTAATATTGATATTTTTTTAATTTTTAAATTGAGATATTTTTATATTTAAAATTATTAAAATTTAAAATATAATAATTAAAAATTTAGTATTTTACAAATATATCAAGGAGCTAAATTTTTTTTAAAAGTAAAAAATTACATGTAATAATGTAAAACATGAGATAAAAAATAATAAAAAAATAACTTGATTTTAAATTTAACAAAAATTATAGATAAATTTAATAAAATAAAAAATAAATTTCATGTTTTTATGTAATTCATAATTTTTATATAAAAATGATTAATATACGTTACAAATACACGTCGTGGTTATATATCCATCTAATCTAATTCTGACGTGGAAAATGTGGATACGTCTCAGAATTGATTTGGGCCTTTCTTCGGCCTTCCATTTTTTTTTTTTTTGGTGTCCGTGTGTTTGTTTGGTTTGGGTTTTTTTATAACTCCGCATCGCGTGCGATTTCGGAACAAAATCAGAAGGCCTTCTAACAAGGAAGACCTCTCTCTTTCTCTCTCCTTTTTCTGTCAAACACCCAGTCACCTACGATAAAAAAAATCCAAAAAAAAAAAAAAAAAAAACCAGGGAAAAAAATCAGATAACAGGAAGAAAAGAGAGAAGACACTGAGATTAAACTTGCTTACTTCATCTTCTACTTATCTCCTTAATTTATATTTTATAATCGAATTTTTATTAATCTGAGAGCACAAAAAAAAAAAAAAGAAAAAGAAAAAACAATCTTGTTTCTTCCTACAATGCCCACTTTGTATTGGGCAAGGTAATAATCTAATCTTCCTATCACCTTCAAATTGCATTTTTTTTTTCAAAGCGGATTTGTCTTTTTATTTTTTTGACATTTATGCTTTGAATCATATCTTTCCTTTTGGCTTTTGATCGATTCCCATTTACTCTAAGGAACTCGGAAAAAGTGTGTTTTTTTTAACTTTCCTTTTTTTTAGACGTTTTTGCATTTAATTGTTGTTGGATAAAATTAGGGTTTTCTTTTTTTTTTCTTTTTATTAATGGGTACTTAATATTTGCTCAGTTAAAGTTTTTGTTTGATGGATTTTTTTTTTCTAGGGTTTTCATCCGGATCAACAAATTGGGTGAAATTTCCCAAATTGGTAACTGATTATGGTTCTGATCGAGTATAAATGGGCTCAAGCTCTTGTTTTTGGAGTATCAGATTGAAGAGCTATTTGTCTCAAGCTTTAGTTTTTAAACAGATTGCTTAAGAGAAATGTTGATTGCTAAGCTTTTGGGAATGGAAGAAGATTGCTTTCATATTGAATTGTGTAGATAGTGATAAAAAAAAAGCTTGAAGATATAGTTGTTTCAGAGAAAAGGGTATCTGAGTTTTTAGTAATTTTTATGTGTTTGATCTCAATTTGGGAATGGTTTTGGTACTGGGTTATTATTGGAAAGAAGAGGTGATGATTCTTTATTGTCCCCGTAGGCAACGTAGAAGGTCAGATTGTACTGGACCATTTTTGTTTCTTAGAAAACCGTTTGGTTTAACATAGTTTTTGAGCTAGAATTCTTGAACAAAAGAGCATTTTTTTAAGTTGTCCTTCTATTTGGGGCATTGTTGAATTAGATTGGTGGAAGACAACAGTAGGTTTAGTAAGTGATTTCTGGCTTGCTGTGGTAATTTTCGCATTTGAAATAATTTGTTTAGTGATAGATAGTTGACTTGGGGTTACTTTTGAGGCTACGGAGATTAGAGGGCTTGTTGGGTTTAGGAACTTTTTGAGCTGTTAAGAGTGAAAGGAGTAAATGGGGGAACATTGAAACTGGAAATGTATGGAGGGATATGGTGCATGGACAGGAGCATAGTTATTGGTTGTTCCCTTTCCGGAACATTGCTACTGGAAGATAATCCAAGTGTTTTTGCTTTTGGAAGGCATTCGTGTTTCGTGTTCTGAACTCCTGTGAAATGTCGCGTTGCTTTCCTTTCCCACCACCAGGATATGAAAAGAAGGCTAGGACTGATGATGTGAACTTACTAAAAAAGGTTAACACCATTTACTTATATTCTGTAACATTTTATGATAAAATTAGCATTCATTAGGATTATGAGAACTAATTCTGTGATATTTGCATTTGATTTGATTTGGTGCTTTTCTGTTTTTATTTCCATGCGATATTAAATTCTTTATAAAGTTTCGGCTGTCGTCTCAATGAATATTATCTATACATAATACTCGTATTCTGTGACTGCTTTTACTAAGGATTCAACAATGCCATGCCTTGCTGAATGAAGCATGTCTATAATGTCATGGATTATGTTGATAGGCTGTATATTCTGAACAGATAAGAACTTAATTATATAGGAGTACATAGTTGCACTGGAAGCTTATTTGAAATGGTAGACCAGTATTTCTGTTACTAATTTATATACTCACCTTTAGGCACTATTTTTTATATTTATGATTGAATGAACATCACAAGGTGGTTTGATAATCTTATATATGAATAGATCTCATGTTTTCTTTTATTCTATTTCCTAATGATACTTTTGTTCATAGAACAATGAGTTGAGGAGCTTATAACTTCTAAAGATACCTTGCCCTAAATTTTGCCTATATCCTGTTGAATGAAAGACTAAGTTGGGTTACCATCTCTCATTTTTTCCCCTCATTAAAGAAAAGCTTCTAATAAATGATGTTGAACTTGACCTAAGGATCACATGAGAAAGAATATTCATGTTTTTTCCTCAAGATTTATTGGATTACTGGGTTTCAAATAGTACCGGCGCTACAGGGTAGTGGTCGCTATTTAGCAGTAATGGTGTCTTCCACCACCGTTATGCACCCGCAACAGTGGTGTGAATGGCATTCACAATCGTTGCAGCTCTTTGTGACTGCAAATAGTGGTGTAACTGCCAATAGTGGGTCGTAATGGCATGTTAAAACCGCTATTTATATTTGTAATCAAATCAAACAATAAACCGAATGAAAACAAAGAATAAAAGGCCTCTTCAACTTCAATAAATTAAGTCAAAATCCAACAAATTTAAGTCTCAATCAAAATAAAAACGTAATTTATTCATGGAAAGAAACAAATACCCATTTTTTAAAATCCTAGTAGTGGATGGTTTGGAGTGAGAGCTCTGGTATAACCTTCATCCCTGTTGGCTTCAAGGTGTGTGCTCTGCGTTATCTCCTCCAATTTGGATTCTTGAGAAGGAAAGATAGATGAGACATCATTTGGGAGAGGCCGTGACAATTTTGGCAAAACATGAGGGTGGTTGGTTATGTTTTGTTGTGAGATGGAAAAGAAAAGTGGAGACAGAGGAGGGATGAGAAATAGAGGGCAATCTGGAAGGCTGAAGACTGGTGAGTTGATTTTTGAACAGGAAGAGAAGAGAAGAAAATGGTTTAATTATAGAATTTAAACAGAATTTGGTATTGACGGTAATGGAAGGAAACCCAAATGAAAGGAATTCAAAATTCATTAAGCACGTGAGGCTGATGTCATATAGCCTTTAAAACTCAAAATTGGTTTTGTTTCTTTTTGTTTAGGTGAATTTTTTTGTGGGAAAGATAAATATTGGTGGGAAATGGACTATTTGAGAAAAAATTTTAGTGATTTAGATAAAAATTTAAGAGGAATGTTAGCTCTTAATTAATGAATTTAATTTTTTATAATTTAATGCAAGTACAATTATTTAATTTAGAATTAATTTTATATATAATTTTGAAATTAATTAATTTTTTTTGAAATAATGATATTATTAATGTTATTATTAATTGAATTTTTTTAGAGTTTGATTATGTATATGTTACTAACTATTACATTATTTTTGTTAATTAATTATTTAAAATGTTGCACTTTGATTTAATGATAAAATACTAATACTTATACTCAAGGAATTAGATTTTAATCCCTTTATCCCAATAATCATATTTTATGAAAGATTTAAATTTTCATCATTACTCTTCCTCATTAGATTAAAATTATGTATTTATAGCATTTATGTTGATTAAATTCATGAATATATTAATAAACAACATGTTAGATATTCACATTGATTTATGAGTCATAACTAGAAAATTTATTTTAACATATAAATGAAAGAATTAAATTATAAAAAATTACCTTAAATATCATAAGGGTTGTTATGATTACAATTATTATTTACTTCATTTTATGATAAGTTGTGCAAAATAGAAAAAAATTCACGACCGCGATGAGTGCGATTATTGCTATGTTATCCATTATAGCTGTAACTGCAATAAATGCGAAATAGAAAAAAATTCACGATCGCAATAAGTGCGACTACTGCTGTTTTATCCATTATAGCCACAACAGCAATAAACATGATGCGACCGAAAAAGCAATTGCGACCGCTATTTAAATCCCTGTTGGATTGTTTAATTTATTATTTTTCAAGCATTATTCTCTCTTAATTTGTTACTGTTTCCCTTCTGCTATTACAAAGGGTGATATTCTTGTTTCCAGCCTGTGATAAGTGATGAAGTTGTATGTGCAAACAGGCTTGTCCTGTTGGTTTGAATTTAAAATTATTATTTTGTTTAGAATAGATTCGTTAACTTTGGTGTCTGTTTTTACTATATCTTGGAGAATCAGTTTCTTCCCAAGTTTCAACATTTTAAATCTCTTTTAAAATAGTGGAATAAGCTGTGTACCCTTGTTTGATCGAAAATTTTTATTTTTCTTTACAAGAAACATAGCTATGACAAATGAATGAAGGTGCACTAAAGGAACTGGGAATTTTGGAGTTTGAACTGTTCAGATCAAGTGCTTTTAACTGGCAGTAATGGAGTTAGATTTTTGCAGCTTTGCCTGCCAGATTGAGAGTGAACTAAGAAGGTCTCTAAGGATATGAGATGGAAGAAATTTCTCTAGATGGGTAAGAAAAAAAAAAGTTCCATTGGCCTTGTGGTTGAAAATTGATATAGAATTTAGTTCCTATTGCTTGAAACATTGTTAAGCTGGTTACGCTTTCTATCTAAGATGCTTGGATGTCTAAAAGTCGATGACTATGGAGTTTTTAGCTGTTAATGCAAAAGCTTTCTGGTTGGGTGTTGATATGCTAGTTAAAGGTACAGATATGTACTTAGAACTCTTAGATTCTAATATTTAAGCGAACCAACTAACATTTAGAAGTATTAGTTTTTGGTTCGTTGATATGTTGATATGAAAGGATCTCAGTAATTTGTGGAGGGTTTATGTGGGATGAAAGCATCATGAATAGATTTCTTTTTATGGGAATCCATTGTTATGCTGTCATTAAGTTGGTTGATCACTATAGGAGAAAAGCTCTTGTATTGTTTGTTATAGAGGTTCCGTGAGTTTGATATGAACAGAACAGTTTGGACTTTGCTGAAGGAATGCCCCAAACATCCTTTGCCATGATTGAGGACATTTTTGGTGGAGTATGGTTTATTTGAGAGTTATCAAGGAGAGAATGTGTGTTTTCATCGTGATTTGTTGGTGATGGGATCAGTGCCATGTCATTTTTTGTTGTACATGAAGTGACTTGTCTGTCATGGCATAAAACAGATATATGGTTTCAACTAGGTCATAATTTTCAACCAGGTATGACAGTCACCTTGGCCTAGATTTCATCGTAGTTGGTGTTTGCTCTAACTGACCATGTTACACCTTAAAGTTCTTTAAGTCAACTTGATTTTGGACAAGAGTCTTGGTGCTTTTTGTAGGAAGAGTAGGAACGTGGATGCTTTTATGACTTACAGAGAATGTGGCTGCAACATATGATACTAGTCTCTTCTTTACAAATCCTTTATTCAAATGTATTCTATAAAGTCCCAGCTTTCTTTTTCCTGACTGAGTTGATTTTGGAGAAAACAGGGTGCTAAACTGATACGATAACCATTCTGTCATGAAAGATTCCCTTCCTCATGTCTTTCTGAAAGGCGCCAATTTCACTAAAGAAAACAAAAAGATGAAGGCAGAAAGTGCCTGAATTACTGCCTTGAGAATGAATCTTTTTGGAGAAGTGATTATTTAAGGTTACTGCTTGCACATCTAGCATGATTGTTTGTCTCTTTACTGCATAATATTTGGGAGGACAAGGGTAGTTTCACCTTTGGCATTAAATACATCGATAAAAGCTGTCTAGAATTGCAAGTGAATTTGCAGTAAGGAAAATGAAGTTTGTTGGAGATGGCTTTCATTTTTTTTATTTCTCATGATTTAACACACAAGTAGTTGAGTCTGTTTTGAGCCCATTCATAATTTTCTTTATCTTATTGATCTAGCTTGGGTTATTGTAAGCTGGTGTTGAGAGAATGGAGTAGGTAGACTATATATCCTTATTCTGTGGAAATGGCTGAATGCATTAAGAAGCTCTTTTTTTATTAACATAAGGAGATTCTATTCATCTAAGCCTTCCTTATTCAAGTACAACACAATATGTATGTCAGCTTTGTTAATGTTTTATGCATGTATTTGAAAGTTGAATGGGACAATGCACATGACTTGGTACATATGCCTCACGAATTTCTTGTTTAAAGGATTAGATTTCATGTGAATAGATATTTTCTAGTACCTTACTACCCTGTTCTCATTTGGTAATGCAAAGTGGCAGGGATGGTAATGCAAATCTCCATGTCTTGTTCTCAACGACTTTATTAGTAGGTTGCTTTTCCATGTCATTGAAATTCACCTTCCTTTGGTTGGGTAGTGGACCTGCTGGTGGTCTGCTTATCTCTTTTCTATCATTTATTTGCGGATTATGCCATGAAGGCTGCGGTATTAACTGCATTCCTATTTCTTAAGAGCCTTGTTCTATGGCATGTATACCTAAAAATTAAGGTTGAGAAGTGCCACTTCACCTATGCAGCCAAAATCTAGTAGAGATTTTCAGAACATTTTGGTGTAAAGGCAGTACTTCATAGATTCGAGTATAATTTTCCATATTCTCTTGAACTAATAGAAGTTGCTGTGCTCTTCCTTGTTCTTTTTGCATGGTTAAGCTCTTTGGTAAACATAATTGGAGTTTTTGCTTGTTGATTTGGTATGTAGCATGTTATATGAAAGTTATTTTTGTCTGAGATTTAAAGCTTGGTATTTTGTGATTCTTATAGCATACAACATTTTATGGTAAAGGTGCATGGAAACTAAGGTTCTATTCCAGCTATCCATAATTTTGCCTGTTTGCTTAGTGGTTGTATTGGTGAATGATGGTGGTTCAACCTTGTCTGCCATTAACGAGTTGCATTCTTGTTGTATTTTGTGTTTGTGGTGTGTTGTTGTTGGTTTTTTTTCCTTTTTTTTAGATTAACTTTTGGATCTTGCCATTGGTTGGCTATACATGTTTTATCTGATTCCATTTAATTCCTTGTCATAACTTTTCACGACAGAATACAAAGGGAATTATCAGAGAATTATCTTCTGTGATCAACTTTAAGTAATCCTGTGGAAAATTTCTTAATGGATGATTGGTGTGTAATTTGTTGACCAAGGTATTTACTCAGTAGGTATGCTTAATATCTGTATTAATTGTAACTTGGCGCAGAATGGATCTTTTAGTATTACTTTCAACATTTGGGGGTTACTGAAGAATTTTTTGGTTGTTTCCTAGTTACGTAAATATTCTTTTGCTTTTGATTTGTAAATCTATGTTTTTCTAACATCATTCTAGATTTTCAGGAGAAGCAAAAAGAGAAGAAGCATAAGAAGGAGAAGAAGGACAAGGAGAAGAGAGAAAACAAAGAAAAAAAGGAGAAAGATAGAAGTGATGGAAAGCATAAGGATAAGAAAGACAAAAAGGAAAAACACAAAGACAATAAGAAGGAAAAGGATAGAGATAAAGAAAAAGAAAAAGATAGAAGTAATAACTCAGAGAAGAAATTTCCTGCTCATCCTGATGGTCAAAATGGGGAGCAAACCTCAGATGAGAAGAAACTTCCAGGAAAATCTGAAGGTCAGAGTGGGGAGAAGTTTATTCAGAAAGAGAAGGGTAGGGACAAAGATCGAAGCAGTTTCTCAGGTGAGAAGAAACTTGCAGGGCAATTTTCTGGTTATAATGGGGAGAAGAATGGCCAGAATAGCCATCTCCCTGAAGATTTCAGGGATTCTAAATTTGTTCAGGAGTTGGGAAGGAGGGTTAGAGATGAAGGTGCAGGAGCTGGAAAACAATTGGCGGATAAGTTTATGGGTACAGACTGGAAAAGAGATGAGGGAATGGTCAGATTGGTGGGGAACACTGCCAACACATTGGCTGAACAGAAGGAAAAGAACAAGAGAAGTGATGATAGGAAGATGGATGTGCAAGGAATCAGGGAGGAGACAAAATCTGGTGGAAATGCTATGGTTCAGAACCTTGCTGGAGCAGTTAAAGCTAGAGTTGAAAGGATTCCCAGAAAAGTGGAGAATAATATTAAGAGGCAGGGGGAAGGGAAAGAAAAAACCGAAGAAAAGGAAAGTGATGATAAAATCAAGGATAAGCGCAAAGATAGACACAGAGATAAAAAAAGTCATGGGAAACATAAGGATAGGGACAAAGAGAAGGAGGAGAAGGCAAAGGCGAAGGATGAACATAGGCATTTGGAGCAGGATAACTTAAAAGCAAGCAACAAAGATGACCCTGTGGGTATCCTTGATCTGAAAACGTCACGTCCTTTCAGGGAGGGCAACAAGGGTGCTCTTGCTGAGGAAAATCTCCACAAGCGGAAGGACTTGGAAACAAATGGATTTTTTCATGGTGAGTTTTATACCATGATTGTATGTATCAATCCCGCTGATCGCTTGAAACTTTTTTGTTAGTTTAGGTGGGTGATCACTTGAAACTTTGGTGCCGTTTATCTGTTAGAAAACCTGCAGTAAACCTGTGCATAACATTGTGCAATTGCTTTCATGGCAATAATTTATCCATTTTTCTTAGCAGGGACTAAAGTTCTAAAGCTCTACAACCATCTTGGTAACAAGTTCTGCTTTCTTTTTTTATTTTTCTTACAGTTGATGACATTAAACCCAATAAGTTGCCAAGAATTTCTTCCTCTCATCCATTGACGGACAATGGAAGGACATTGGAAACTTGCCAAGCTCCCAATCCACTTACTTCAGACAGCCAGGGGGCAGGAAACAGTCATAAAGTGAATAATAAAGATCGCAAGGTGAATGGTATCATTGAAGCTAAGCTGTTATCTGTCTCTCCAACAAAGCATTTATCAGCAAGTCCACAAGCTACTCAAATTGATGAAGTGTCTATAAAACCACCCCATCCAGATTTAAAGTTTTTGAGCCAAGTACTTTCGGTGCCCAAAATGGAAGAATGGTCTGATTTTGATGACCAATCATGGTTATTTCACAGTAATGAATCTCAATCAAAAAAACTCAAGGTGGGATTTTCTGAGATTGATGAGTCCCAAGTGTGGGCAGAGGCGCTGCGGATACAGTCAGCTGATGTTTGTGCTCTCCCTTATGTTATTCCGTACTGATTTTGTCTTTATTAGCGGGCACATGGTTAACCCTCCTACACTGCAGCAGGATTTGGCCCTTTGGGTTGATTCTTTGATTTCTGTTAAGCATTCTTTTGTTGTCAAACTCCGGTGTTGCAGTGAATGTTTTTGCATGACTGACTCCCAAACTTTGTTGAAGGGATTGATCTGTCACGCCGACGATCACATGCTCTATCATGTCATTCCACTGCTGGAAGCGGAGGGTGGGGTATTTGCCTCCTGGTACCAAGCTACTAGTTCATTCAAAACACAGGACGCCATGAAGACAACCGAATGACGGCGCCCTGAAAAAGGGCGATGTACGAGATTGTGCAATTCTTATTTTAATTGCTTAAAGCTGAGAAGCTCTTTCTAATTGAGAATGTAAGAGAAACTAGCTGTGGTCTTTGCAATTCCACTGCAATTTTGATTTGTAACATACAACTCTTATTTACAAGAAATGTAAGATAGAGGGAAAAGAAAGTAATCGCATTCATTTATTCACAACTCCTGTACATGTACCTTGTCCTCTTTTCTATGTTTCTTCAGTAAAGGTTTGCCTTGGTCGTTGAATTAACCAAACCCATCCTACTGTCTTAAACAACCTGTTAAACCCACCTGTTAAACTGCCTGAATTCTTGTAAGAACATCACCAGATCCCGGTGACCAACCCAATGTTTATTTATACACTTGAAAAATAAGTTGTACTAGTGATCTACTAGCTTTTTCAACATATTAATATCTTTGATATTCATTTTATGTAGTTTTTACAGTGTTGGCATGTTGTTTTAAGATTAACATTACGTTCTTGGATTTGATCATTACTCAACCCACCTGGAAACTACCATCAAACCTCACTCTCCATCACTTGTCAATTTAAACTATATAAATGAAATGGACAATAACATTTCTTCATTTGCATTTTCTTCCGCTGTATTTCTTTTATATTTATCTTATTCTTTTATTGCCTGTATTTTTTATTATGTTCACATGTTTTAAGTTTTTTGTCGGGACTTTTCAAATCAAAATTTTTAATTACAATAACAAAAATCTTGTCATATTTAATACTAAGTAGCAAGTGGTTTGTAGAAAACCGTTGGAGACAATTAAGTGATAAAGTTGGACCTTTTTTTATTATTTTAATTTAGAAAATTTATTAAATTTATTATGAGTGTAATTTTTTAATTTTATAAATGAGATTAATAAGATAATATATGTCTTAAAATATATTTAAAAAAAAACTAATTAAAATATGAAACATGTATTATTAAATTAATCCTACTTATAAAATTAAAAAACTCCAATAATAATCTATTAAAAAAACAATAAATGCAAAATTTAAATATAAAAATGTGTTATAACGCTGTGTATTTGTAGTGTTAATAATATAATTATGATAAATATATAAATTAATCATAATTTTTTTGATTTAAAGAAAAAGATTTTTGAATTTTGTTTAATATATTTTTTTTGAATCAGTTCAAGTAAATTTATTATAAAAAGTTTTATATAATTAATTAATATATAATAAAGTTACGTTCAAATAATCTTATAATTGATAAAAATAATTTTATAAAGATATTATACAAATTACTAGATATATTAAGTGCTTTTATTATTTAAAAATAAATCAATTGATTATCGGCTGATTCCGCTTTAATGAAACCAATGCTAAAATCTTTGTATTTTGTTGTACGAAAACACAGAAAGTGTTGAGAAAATTGAGATTGTCGGTGGCAAAAGTTTCGTTAGAATTAATGTAAAAAACGAATTGAATCGAATAGATCAGATTTGATTTGTTTTAAATTTTTTAAATAATATATAAAATTATAAAATTTAATTTAAATTTAAATTACATTTTCATAAATTTTAATTCGAATTAAAATGAATTCTATCCACTTAGTTATGTAGTTTTTTAAAATTTAAATTTTTTATATATTATTTTAATATAATTTTTAATAAATTTAAATAAATTTAGATGTAAAATAATTATTTTTATTATAAAAAAATTTAGAAAATATATAAAAATTAATAAAAATGTATAATTTTATTTAGTTTATTTAGTTTATTTTTTAATTTAAAATTTAACTTAAACTTAATATATATTTATTATTTAAATTTAATTTAAATTGAATAAAAAATTAATTTGAACTGAATTAAATATTTTAATTTTAAAATCGATTTTTAATTTAAAAATTTTTTTTTCCTTCTCCCTAGCTAGGATTTTGAAGGAATAAAACTGATTGCAAAAGTTAATCAATCAAGGGAAAGTGCCGAGGGAACAATCAAATATCCAAAATCTAGACCGGTGATTTTAAGGGAACACTCGATTTAATTTGTTATTGTTTTCTTCATTGCCGCACCATATCCAAAATCTTGCCTCACGTTTTTCACTTGGAAATTTCAAATTTGTATCCCAAGGAGAGGCACAAGGTGGGTAAAAAGGGCATTCTTGATGCAATCTATAGAAAAACATTAAATCTTTTAGGTGCAGTTGAAATTAATTTTTCCACCGCCGCAAAATTTTCCAATTTTATCCATATTTTTTTCTTTTTTTTTTCTTATTTGGTTTTGAGTATATAGTGTGAGCACAAAAATTCTCCAATAATTTTTTTATAATAAATTAATAAATAAACATTTTTATAGTTAAATAAATAATTAAAATAAATAATTGCATAAATAATAAAGTAAACAAATACATACATTTTAATTTAATTTTTTAATGATATTTTTTCACTACAATTTATTTTACAATTATTATTATTTTTAATCTAAATACATATTTTATCATTATTTTTATTTTTATTTTTATAATAACCAATTTCATTAATATAATAATTTATCTTACTAGTATTATTTTTTTTAACCTCATCGAAATGAAATTTACCATTGTCCTAAACGTGCGTTTGGTAAAAGCAAATCAAGATGTGGGTGGGTTTTATTGTGTGATGGAACATTTGTGAAAAGACAATAGTGGAATTGGAAAGGTACAAGAATTAAAGAAAGGTCTTGTTGTCTTTATTGTAGGAAAACGTTACATCATTCGACGTTGAGAATCAATGGAGCATCTTCTTTTCTCTGGTTCTTATCATTTTTTTTTTTGTAAATTTAAATAAAAATAGTATTTAGAGAATTTAATAAAATAAAAATAATATTTAAAAAAGGTAATTAAAAAATAATATTTTAAAAATTTAATTGGATACAATAAAAAAACAAAGTCTTATCTAAAAATTTTGAAAAATTGCAAAGACTTTTTTTTGTTACAAGTATAAAGGTTTCTTTTAATATTTTAACCATCTAATTAATATCTCTTCCAACCTTTCAAAGGCTTAATCCTTAATTTCGAACTACTTTTTGTCTATTAATAATATTAATTATAATAATATAAGAAAAATTATTAAATGTATACTGGCAGTGGAATTTTTATATTTCACAAGTTAGGAAGGTGACATGTAATATCATTAGAATATATAAAAAATAAAAAAATTTAATTAAAAATGTGATATGTGTTAATCTTTTAACCTTGTTTGTAAAATTAAAAATTGTTTGGTCATATTTAATATATAAGATTATTGATAAGATAAGATAATAATCATTCTACATTATGTTTAATTTATATCTAAATAGAGGAATATGGATTGCAAAAAAGATTATTATCCTTGTAGCATAGGATTATTTAATTTTCTTTAAGTGGAGATGATTATTTTTAATTCATGAGATTAAATTTACATGTCTAATTATACCCTTAAAAATTACATTAATAATTTAAATTATATAAATTTTGAGAAAAAGATAATTTTGACAAATAAATAAATTATCATATTCTAACCCTTTTATATATTAAATACAAAATAAGATGATATTATTTAATTTAATCATATTCATAATATCATCTTATCAATATATCAAATAATAATAATAATAATAATAATAATAATAATAATAATAATAAAGCAACAATGTGAGATCATATATATATATGGAGAAAGGGTAAGTTCAAGAAAAAAGATTTATATGAAGTTTCTTAAGTGAAATTTGTGAAATTTTTTACTTAAAAAAAGGTAATAAAAATTAAAATTGGTGTATTAATAAAATTTAATGAAAAAATCAATAATATGTAAAAAAAATTAAAAATATTGTTTATAATTTAAATTTGATGAATATTTATTCAACGGTAAATATTCTGTTAAAATTTTTATTAAAAATATTTATCTAAAAAATATATCTAATTTTATTAATTTTTGTTCAAAATTTACACTCTTGATCTATAAAAACTTTCAATATATTGATTTTAATTTTTATTAAAAATATTTTTTATAAAAAAATTTCATGAACTTCACTTAAAAAACTTTACCTAATTTCTTTCCCAAGTTTAACTCCTTCCTGAACTCTTTGAATTAATTAGAAGCCAATTAAGTTGAATGAGTTGGCAAGATAAGCTTATAATTAGTCAATGTGACCGTTATTGATTGATTCATTTATTGTAGTGTAAAAAAAAATTACTTTAATTTTAAGTCAAGCCATGCATATATCATTTAATTCAATAATTCTCTCTAAATTTCTACCTCTCCCCTATGTGCCAATCCTTCACTCAATTCGATCCCAACGGAATAAAATCCTATATGTGAGTTGAATACTGGTTACATAAAGATCCCTCCATATATCTTTAAGTTTGAGATTCCTCATTTATATGATTTTGTGATATCAAAATTTTAATTTTCTAACATAAGCTAGTTACATACACATTTTTTTTTTTAGAAAATGAGGCATAGACAATTATACGTCCCGTTGAGTTAGATAGTTTTATGCATGTATTGTAACAAGAGATCGTAACAGTTAATGTTATTTTTTATTTTTGAGATTATCATATATTAAATTGTGATTATAGAAATTAAGAATTTAACATTCTAACAATAAATCACATAATTCTTGACTATTATTGTTTGTATTAAGTTCAGACAATAAATCACATAATTCTTGACATTATTGTTTGTATTAAGTTCAGACTGGATGAAGAGCTTAAAGATAAACTCAGAGATAAGAAAAAGAGAGTTGAAGAGAAGAGCTCAAAAGAAAATATGAAAGAGTTAAAAGAAGAATTGACCTTCATTTTACTTAAACGGAGTATAGGTATTTATACAAATTAGCTCAGACAATATGACCAAAATATACCTAATCCAATTGTGAGCTACTCTTTTAGGGTAAAAGAAAATTAGACCCTTATGACCCAAAAATGTCCCTAACATTATATCTCTAAAAAACAGTATGAAGTTTTAGATGAAGGTTAAGCCAATATGTCCGACCTACTTTGGGTTTAGTCGATTTGTTGAAATTAAGGATACATTCGAGTTCAAACTTTGAATGTCGATTTTGTTGTCCAACCTTTTAATAACACAAGAGGTTTGAAGTATAGATATGATGAGATGTTATTTTATGATTTATCTAACGTTGATGACTATTAGAATCTCAATAGTTATTTGACTTTGTTTGCTAACTATTTATTTTGGCCGAGGTTAATCTACGACTGATATAGAGGTATTTAGGTAGTCTAAGTTAGTTACACAATAATCGACATGACACTTGATTGATTTTACAATGTGATTCTAAATTTATTTATGTTGAGAAAATTTATACTTTGGTGAATTTGTACCAAGGTGATTTACATCGAGGTAAATCTGTGTCAAAGTGATTTTTACCAATGTGAATTTGTACCGAGATGATTTTC